TAGAGAATAGTGAATATGCAGAGGAAAAAGAAGTCTGAAAACAAAGGTATTGATGGACTGAAATAAAAAAAAAGCAGACCCATGGTATTCTTGATCTTTCAGAATGAGTGAAGTACAACATTAGTTTAGTGTCACTTTTAAACTGCAGAACACCTTCCACTCTCCTCATCTCCATAGCATAGGGAATGTGTTCTGTAGTATAGAAGTGAACTGGGCAGGTCTGATAACACTGCTTGAGATTTCATTCCAGAAGCAGAGCATGCAGTAAAGATGAGTCCTTTGGATTTTAGGCAGGGTCAACAATTTCATTTTTTTTTTTTTTTACATTTTGAAAAACATTTATCATTTTCCTTCCACTTCACAATTATTTGCCACTTTGTGTTGGTGTATCACATAAAATCCCAATAAAAAACATTTATGTTTTTGTTGTAATATGACAAAATGTAGAAAATTTTTCAAGAGGTATGAAAACTTTTTCAAGGCACTATATTGTATAGTTTACCTTCTTTGCCATCTTCCCATTAATGTGCTAATGAGATTTTTAAATAAAACCATTGCATTTGCATTGATGCTTTTTTACACGCTGTATATATGAACTTCTCTGTGCAATGCAGGCAGATCATGGCTGGTGGAAGTGACCAGCAATGTGCTGTTCATTGCTTCTGGGAGACAGGGCAGCATTCTTCAAATAAATATTATTATTCTCATGCTATCCCTTTAACTAAACTAGCTTCTGCACTCTAGGAGCAGCTGTCACCCCTGCGAATCACCAAACACAGAAAAAAAACTCTCCCTTATACTATAATGTAGTATTCCTCAAAACTTCTGCATACAAATATGTGAAACAGAAATAACTACCACCCACATATTGCTGAAATCAGTATTCGTACATAAACAACATGGTCTTTGAAAAAAATAATTTGAGGTCTTTGAAAAAGTCCTTTGAAGCCTTTGAAAATGTTCAGAAAGATGCAACATGTCAGATGGGAGGAGCATGTAATGTTATCATGATGGTCCCACTGTGGGACAAATCAAGCCTTTTTTCTGGTAGCTTATGTGGACTGGAGTGTCCTGCTTGCTTGCATGAATACTTTGTATCTATGTGAGTTCTTTCTATGTAAGCTGGCTTTTATTTTAATAAATAGTCAGTAAAGCACTATGGAGTTTCTCTGTGTTTTCTTGTGAGCACATGGGACCAGAAGTGTTCTTCAGAACCTTGACTGCAAAGCAGACTGGAACAGATTGTGATATGATAAGATTGTGATTATGACCTCTTTGTACTATCGAGTTCCATCTAAGAAAGTGGGGGCATGTCTGGTTGAGCACCTAGGTGGAGGCACATTGGAAAACTATTGATCCAAGGCACTGAAGGATCGGGAGGATTTATTGCACTTTTATATTTTACAATTAGATTCACATACTGTATATGTAGGCAGACATTTTGAGGAGCACTATAGTATAAAGGAGCACAACATTCTTAATCGGTATTCTTCTCAAAAATGCTCTGCCCTGTTGCAAGCAGTAAACTGGTGATTGGAAGGAGCTATGCAAGTATCAGAATACCTTGATGAGTCAATGTGCATGCCATGCAATTAAAAAAAACATGAAAACCAAGGACAGTCAGGATAGGGAAGAAAAAGCTAAATGGTGCTGGACTTCCTCTAGCTAAAATATTAGGCAAGCCATACCTGTCTTGCTGCAGATTCTAACGTATACTGTGAGAAGCTCACAGTGTGCAGTGAAATTAGAGTAAGCAACTTCTTTAGTACAGGACAGAATCCTGAACCCTGAACAACTGTGCACGACTGAAGGTAAGACTAAGGTTCAGCTATAAGTGGTAAAGCTTCCCAGTGTTGGCTACCTAAATTGGTCTTACAGTGGACAGGGTTAACAATGGAAAGATTTTGAATTTCCTAAAACATTGCTCTTTGTTTTCAATCCTATTTCAAGTTTGCATCACTATTAACTTTCACAACTTAGACTTAGTAAAAATCAGGTGTGGGATACCTAGTTCCCATAATTAATAACAATGAATAAGGGGAACGCGCTCTTTCTCTGAGAAATGACTCATATTAAAAAGTCACTAGACACAAAAACAATACCAAGTATAGTCTGAGTTCATCCAGCAAAGCCCATAATAACAGTATCTGTGAAAGACTAGCGTCGCATATGCTGAAACGCTTTACTTAATATCCGTGTTTGTCTCAAGAAACTTGATTTTATTTCCAAGTTAATAACATTTGTTAGACTGAGATATAAAGCCAAGACAGAGCTTTCATGAGTAGGCCCTTGACTTTTATAGGGAGGTACTTGTATTTTTCCACAAGCCATTCATTTATGCTATCTCCGTGCCTCAAAACATACAAGTACTTCATGAGGTTTGTGAAACAGGAGGCAAGTGTTAAGTGTTTTGTATTGATTTTAAGTAACATTATAAAAACTTCATACCTCTTAGTCTACAGTACCATGTAAACTTTGAAGATAGTACTGAGAATATTGTATGAGAATAGGAGGAATATATAACCAATCATCTTGTCTACAAGAAAGGATCAGATTTACAATTTTATTTCTTAAAGCTGAACTCTGGGGAAAGTAAAAATCCTGCCTTGCAATAGGGCTGCCCCTGTTAAAAATCGTGCCACGCAGAATCGCATGGTGCTGCAGCACCACGAGGTTTCGCACAACCAAAAACACAGTCGTTTTACTGATGTGTGGGCTGCCATTAAGAATTAAAGGTACCTCCATGCATCTAGTAGAAATCCCACAGGGAAATTTCACCGCTTTAAACTTTGTTCAACCACTCTTCAAGTCTTCCTTGTGTAATAGGTGTTGGCTCCCTCTGCCCATCCTGTTCAGCATAGATTGGAAAAAAAAGTGAAAACAAAGCCACACTCTGTAAAATTACACCATAATATTTATTCCAGGTATCTGGTTTCCACAGTCTGCTAAATGGCAGTACATTTCTATATTTTGTTGGAAACACACATAATTGTGTGCATGTTACCGGTATGCAATAGTGTGAACTTGGCCTTAAAGACAAGTTCTGGAAATTTTGTTAGCTTTGGAAAGCTTTTGGAGAGTTCTAGAGTTTTTTTCCAGCCTTTCTTTCTATTGGTGACCACATTGGGGAGTTTTTTTCCCTCACTTCCTGTCCCTGCAACTCCAGGACAAGGAATGGACATAGCAGTTGTCGTTTGGAAAGAAAAGTGCTGATAGCAATAAAATCATTTTCACTTTTCATTGAAAAAAAGGTATTGATATGGTACAAGGAGTTACATGTTGATTATTTTCATAAACAGTAGGTTTACATAGGATAAGAAGAAAAGTATTTCATACACAGTTACTAAGCACTACAGTTCTACCTAGTTGGTAATTCGTAGGAGGAGAGTATATAAATCATTGTGTGCTCCTTATAGATCACAAGAGTAAGGAAAACAGTAAAATAAAGGAAGAAGAAAAGCACAGAGTAGGAGAAGGAGAGGAAGGGGACAAGGGGGGCCAGGGGGTTAAGGCAGGTTCTGGGATTGCCAACATTTTCAGTGTTTCTTAAAGAAGTATATCTGCGACCTGTTAGATTGCTTTTGGAGCCGCTCAAAGTAGAAGTGAAAGCACATCCCTGTGCCCCAAAACATGGAGTACAGGCATGTCCTAATGGTGCCCCTCAAAGAAAAGGTGAAAGCACATTCCTGTGTCCCAGAACATGGAGTGCAGACATGTTCTAATAGTGCCCCTCAAAGTAGAGGTGAAAGCACATCTCTGTATCCCAGAACATAGGGTGCAGGCTTGCCCTAATACCAATCCAGGGGGTTAGTAAATGTAAAGAACAACAAATCAACACTACTCCCAACCAGCCAAGGTGAATAAACGATAAAGCGTGGCCTCAGCCTACATGTCTCCACCAAACCACACACCCTGATGCATTTCGCCCCACCCACCAGGGGCTTAATCATATGGTCGGGAGCAACGGCAAGCCTTTCCTCTTGAGATGTGAACATATTGGATCCACAAGGATCACATATTGAGAAATTCCGGATGGGTATCCATAATTATAGTTTTTACTTTCTCATTAATAAAAAAATGAGTCCATACGTTGTTTAAAGTCTGTAAAATACAAAATATTTTTTTCCATGCCTCAGCGATTGCTTGTTTGGCTGCTAAGAGAATAAACATTGTTAGCTTGATTTATGATTTGTTAAGAGAGGGAGGTTTCAGATGGAGTGCGACCCAAGGGTCATTAGGAATATGGCTTCTGAATAAGGCGTATAAACATTTAAACACTTTGAACCAAAATTTGCCTAGCACAGTACAAATCCACCAGAGCAATTAAATTATTTTCAATGGTTCTAACTGTTTTCCTTGCTACTGAAAAGTTATTGAAATGAGAAGAAATCTCTTCAAACGGTACCCAGACAACAATAATACACTGACAATAGCTCAAATTTTTCTCAGCATTGCCCGTGTTTTGAATCTAGTGTAAGGTGTGCTATTCATTCATATTTTTGGATCAGAGAATGACAAACGTTGAGACAACCTACTTTCTGCACAGTTCCTGATTTTGGTCTGGTGAGGTATGCCATCGACATTTCATTCATAGCCACTTATCTCTGTCTGAAGCCTCACAATGTGGGAAAATTAAACAAATCAGCAACTTCTTTATAAACTCCAAGGCTAATTAAATATGGCAGGAGTATCATTTTAACTACACAGAAAATGCAAGGAATGCATGGATTAGACAATGTCATTATGACTACTTTTATATAAATATATTAGGGTTCAACACTCAACAATGTACATGTTTTTATGCAAGATGAATGGCAATTAATTTTAAGTATGTTAAAGTTTTGTGTTTTGGAGGGGTTTAATGAAGTTTTGCAATTATGTTGGGTGTTAAACCATAGTTCATCTGTCAGCATTTTCGAGCAGTAAGAAAACATTTTATTTTTTTCCTTTCATAAATAAAGCATGCATTTGCTACACTTTAACCCCCGGTTCACAATAATGCGGCCGTGCGGGCTGTGTTTTGCACGGGCACAAGAGCCCATTCATTTGAATGGACTTCTGTGCCCGTGACACACAGGGAAAGAAGTCCCTGCACTTCTTTTAAAAATGCAGCCCACACGGGAACCTTGTTTCCCAGTATGGTTGCTTTTCCCAGTGCGGGCGGCGTGCCATTAGAACTAATGGCACCCGCCCGCAGGTCCGCATTTCTCTGTGCGGGTGGTGCGGCTGCACGGATTTTCCTGCGGATCCGCAGCGGCACCACCCACACAGATGTGAACCTAGGGTAACAGTTTATTGCCAAAGGAGGTAAAGGTCCAATTCCCCCACCACAGCAATTGTACTTTTATGATAGCTAGGTGTCAGTTGTTATTTAGACAACCTGTTGCTTATATATTAAGTTGGTCTACTGATCTGTAAGTAGAGTTTATTACTTCTTTCACTTCTAACATGGTTTGCGGTGTCCTGAATGCACTGATTGACAATGTCACAACCCTTTAAGAGAGTATATAAGGGTAATAAGAGACTAGCAGAGCCTATTTGGCTGTATTGACCCAGACAAGTGTGCCCACAGTATGCAGTGAGAAAGCCACATATGCATCAACCATTTGAAACGTTGAAGCTGCCTGCAAGTTAATACAGCATCCACTCAATGAGGAATGGTATGATTATTGTGCAGTTTTTAAATGTTCCTAGCTTTCAGAAGAATATTAAACAGTTGCTTTTTTTACTTGGATGTCACATTTGTTATATTCAGTATATTGGTTGCAAATACAAAACAGAGTGGATTATACTGGTTCACAAGTAGCACATTTTCTCAGTTAGGGCTTCACTTGTTATTTGAAAGGTCCAAATCAGAGGAGCATTGGTACATACACGATATCGCAAAAATTATTGGGATGCCTGCCTTTACACACACATGAATTTTAATGGCATCCCAGTCTTAGTCCGTAGGGTTCAATATTATTGAGTTGGCCCACCCTTGGCAGCTATAACAGCTTCATCTCTTCTTAGAAAGCTGTCCACAAGGTTTAGAAGTGTCTATGGGAATGTTTGACCATTCTTTCAGAGGCGCATCTGTGAGGTCAGGCACTGATGTCGGAAGAGAAGGCCTGGATCACAGTCTCCACTCTAATTCATCCCAAAGGTATTCTATTGGGTTGAAGTGCAGGTCAGTCAAGTTCTTCCACCCCAAACTCGCTCTTTCATGTCTTTACGGAGCTTGCTTGGTGCACTGGTCCGCAGTCATGTTGGAACAGGAAGTGGCCATCCCAATACTGTTCCCACAAAGTTGAAAGCATGAAATTGTTCAAAATGTCTACACTGATGCCATAGAAGTTCCCTTCATTACAAGCAAGGGGCCAAGCCCAACCCCTGAAACACAACCCCACACCATAATCCCCCCCACCACCAAACTATACACTTGGCACAATGCAGTCAAGCAAATACTGTTCTCCTGGCAACCGCCAAACCCAGACATGTCCATCGGATTACCAGACAGAGAAGTGTGATTCATTACTCCAGAGAACACATCTCCACTGCTCTAAAGTCCAGTAGCAGCTTGCTTTAACCCATGCATCTGACAGTTTGCATTGCACTTGGTGATGTAAGGCTTGGATGAAGCTGCTCGGCCATGTAAACCCATTGCATGGAGCTCTCTATGCACTGCCATTGTGCTAATATGAAGGCCACACAAAGTTTGGAGGTCTTTAGCTATTGACTCTGCAGACAGTTGGGACTTCTGTGCACTGTTGGCTTCAGCATGCGCTGAGCCTGTTCTGTCATTTTACGCAGCCTAACATTTCATGGCTGAGTTGCTGTTGTTCCCAGTTGCTTCCACTTTGTTATAATACCACTAACAGTTGATTGTGAGCTCCTGAGAGCAACCCATTCTTTCACAATTGTTTGTAGAAGCAGTCTGCATGCCTAGGTGCTTGATTTTATACACCTGTGGCCATGTAGGTGATTGGAACACCTGAATCCAATGATTTGGAGAGGTGTCCCAATACTTTTGGCAATATAGTATATTAGAGATTCTCCAAGATACAACAGAGGCTTTTCACCAGTATCCTGCAGAAAATATAACCAACCAGTAGGTTTTTTAACTTGTAGAAGAAATCAAATCACTTGTAGACAATCAATACAAACATGGGGAAAACAAAATCCATGCAGAATGTCACTGGATTTAATGCAGAATGTCTCTGGATTTAACTCACCCCTTGAACTCATGTCTTCACATTTTTTTTAATTTAATGACTATTGCTGAAATTAATATTGTTTAGAGCATTTTTTCCCTTTGTGTGTCAAATACTCAGGTATGTCCAATTTCTATTTCTTTTATTTATTGCTATATCTATAACATATTGATGTACCATGAGTGTACATATAAGATTTTTTGCAAGGGTATCCAGAGACCTGAAAATTATTTCAAGGGTTCCTCTAGGGTAAAAAAGTTGAGAAAGATGGTTAGATTTTTGCTGCCAGGTCCATACGCCATACATCTTTTAGACCCTGCATGTCTCATTAAAGTGAGCTTGTCACCTAAAAATCATCACATACGGGACTCTGTGTTCCCTATGTGATAAAAAAAAAAAAAAAGTTAAGCAAAAATTAATTGCAAAAAAATAAAGTTAAACCTCAGCACGTAACATTCCCCCCAAAATATTCTGAGCCCCCCCACATGTTCGCATGTACAAATGTAAGCACAAGGCTGGGCCAGCCTACGTGTCTATGTAGGCCTACGAGCCTACGTGTTACATATTGCCGCACACACCAGAGTTAGAGCAATAGTTCTAGCACAAGACCTCCTCTGTAATGCTAAATTGATGACCTGTAAGACCTTTTGAAGCATCTCCTATGAAAATATAGGCTACTCCATAGGTAGACAGGTAGACACAAATTTAAGATTGGACAATGTTGGGTATCTATTTACCTGGTGTAACCTTGTTTTTTATATTTTACCAAACATTTTGATAATGTATCACATTTGTTTGCCCTAAAATTCACTTTAGTGTGTTTTTTTTGTATTGTATTTCTTAGACATTTGCAGTAATATCATGTGACATCAAAAATTGTAACTACCACTATTTTATTCTCGATGGAATCTGCTTTCAAAAAATATATAATGTTTGGGGGCTTTGTGTAACCTTCGTGCTTAAAATTATTTATTAAACATGTGTGCAATAAATGCAAAAACGGTTCTGGCAACGAAAGGGTTAAACTCATACGGGCATGGCTTTTTCTCTTTTTGTATTTGTTTTTTTTTTTCTATGTAGTTGTATGCAGGGGCGGACTGACCATTTGGAAACTCAGACACTGCCCGAGGGCCCGGGGTCAGTAGGGGGCCCCATGAGATGCCCCTGGTACATATTTTTCATAGGCTATTTTGAGTTTTGTCAAGGACACAGGGGCCCCATGATCCTTATTGCCCGGGGGGCACCATGAGTTGTCAGTCCGCCCCTGGTTGTATGTATCTGTGTTATCTGTATTGTTCTTTTTTTGAGTGTCAGATTGTACAATGCCACAAGATTGGTATTATTATTAACATACTTCAATTTCCACCTAATGATACACTTGATACGTGATGTATGAAACTGAGATAGGCAAGAACCCATATTTTTGTTTTTTTAGTGTCTATAATGTGTTTTCATCTTGCTGTGTATGTGTCAAATGCTGGGCAGAATATTGGGAAATCCTCATAGGCTCAGAATGTAGAGGCAATGAGGGCAATCATGCACAAACACAATTCTTTAAAAAAATTGGTCTTGGAATATTTATTTTAAATCCTCAAAGTGGAGGATTTTAATTTTTAAAAGCAGTGTGAATAAATTCCTGACATGTCACAATATGCTGTATAGCTTCAGTCATTTTTTTTTTACTTTTTTTTATTTTTAGAAAATCCCTACCATTTATCATTAAAGGGCCCTCTGATTCCTTTTGTGCCAAATTGTATTGTAACTGTAATCTCTGCCTTCATTTTGTAAAGCGCTGCTCAAACTGTTGAGCTATATAAATCCTGTATTATAATAATAATAATAATTAAAAAGCAGTCCCTGAGCTCCAGTTAGGTGACTTATTCTAGGCTGAGATGTCAGCAGTCTGATGCAGGTAGGAGGAAAACTTTCCTCAGTCGCCTCTCTCACAGTGATCAGAGTGCAACCATGCAACTTTGTAGCAAATAAGGTAAGAGCTCCTTTAGGGCTGATCTGTGTCAGATATTTGTGAACACTGCCAAGAACTGCACAGACACCAGGATTTACATGATTGTGCCATCTCTGAGAGTTGTACTTACAGTATGCAGGCACTCAGCATAAAAATTTTAAAAGAAAATACATTTTTCTTCTCTATTCTATTTTGCAGTCACAAGCTATTATAAAAAAATATATATACAAGTTTTATATTCAAAGTACATCGTTAGAATCAGCCTAAAATGGTTTGTGTTATGAAAATGACACCTGCATCACAAATGGATTTACATATGTAAATTTACATCTATAGTGATTCAGAAATATTGTTAATCTGTTCTGCAGTTTTCTATAGGAAGTGAAGGGAAAATAAATTAACATTATTCATAAGAAGACTTAGGAGAATACACAAAATAATGAGGTTTACATTGCATTGGAAACAGGTGGAGACATACATGAATACCACATTTTATGATGCTTTGTATAGTTAAGATGAATGGGAATTAATATTTCTCCACATTTCATATCATAGAATTACAGAAACATTACACAAGCATCCACTTGCTGTACTGCATTAATGCGTACACAAACCTTACTTTCCAATGTAACATTATATAATTCATCACCCAGAAGCTAGAATTACTCTATGATGTAGTAACCCCATAAACTGTTGCCTTTTTAATAGGAATGTATGATGCTCATAAATAAATAACATACACTTTTGTCATCAATTTAGAATCTTCACCAAGATGAGGGCTTTTACCATGCGAAGGATAGTATGCCCTGTAAATGGAGGTGATAGAAATTCTGAATTTAGCTTCTGTCATGGTTTAGGAGAAGACAATAATTTATGAAGTCACATCTACATATTCAAGACAGATTCAGAAGTATTCTAGTATGCCCTATGCACCAGATTATCTACTGCAGAAAAAGAGAATTTAATCTAAATTTACAAAGAAAAACTGTGGAACAAAAATCTATTTTAAGGATACTTATACAACGCTTGGTGAAATTCACAGATGTGACTGGTGTCTTTTACAAATTGTGAAGTCACTATTGTAAGAATCATTGACATACTGTATATATTGAGTTTGCCATCAGATATACGACTCATTAAGGAGGAAATACGAGTCAGTTTCCTATTGCATTGCAATGGAAATGGAAATAACTGTTCTGAA